CACATCTTTGCGGGTACTTTCTGCCTCATCAGCATCCACAGCGTCTAATAATCCCCTTTGCTCTTCACTTCCGCCAACATCCCCTCCATGAGGGGAAGCCGCTTAGCTCGTTGAGGGTTTACCCAGCCTTACACTAATTGCTACAGGCCAGTTTTAATCATCCAGACAGCTCCGTTCCCTCGACTCCTTCTTCCTGCTCCCCAGCACCCACCCCGTGCTAATTATCATGAAAGCAAATCTTTCTCCCTTAATCTCTGCTCCTTTGCATGTAAGAAGAAATTACTTTGAAGCTTGGGATTCCAGCATGGGGGGGGGTGGAATTCCCAGGGGGAGGCTGCCAGTTCGCTGGAAGGCACAAGCCATTTCTTTAAAAAGTTTCGGGGGAATTTGGGAGAGGAACAAATAAATCCAGAGGGAAACAGAAGCCCAGAAGGTCGTTAAAGAAGGAGAGGACCGTGCTTCCTCATCCTACAGTCTGCAGCCCCGCAGATAAACGTCCATGTTCTAGAGTGAACATCACTCTGTGCACGCGAAGGTCCCAAAGCACAGTGAGTATTTTGGGCCATGGAAGGTGGACAGCGAGCAGCTCGGAGCGCTGAGAAGGTCTGGGGCCCAGACTTCTCCTTGTGCCTCTGCCGCACGCTGCCTCCGCTCACTCTGCCCGCAGAAGGTCCCTGGTCTGAATCGAAATGAAATCGATGCCAATGGTGATGGTGGTGAAGATGATGGCCACCCCCCTGACAGTTGGGTGGGCTTCCTCTCAAATGTCTTAAGCATGCCTCCTCCCCCACTGCCTCGTCCTGCGGCAGCGACCCCCCCCCCCCCTCAGATCTGGCTAATGCAATGAAGGCCTCTGGCTGCTTCCTGGCTATTAACATCCTGCCTAATGAATGACGGAAAGAGGAGACGAGAATCTATTTCCAGGCAGGAGATGAGTCACACATGGAGATGGCACCATTTCCGTGCGAGATCCATGCACGGAGGAAAGGGGAGAGAGGCCGAGACAGCGAGCTAGGCTGGAGGCCTCCCGGCTCGGGCGTTACAGCCCTGTGTGTCCGCCATCTTTGCTTCGGGGGCTCCCCCGAAGGCCAACGTCTCCAGCATCCCCTGTCCGAAGCCTGGGAAAAGCGGGCCTTTCGTGGCGTTCCCAGTGATGCCTTCTTGGCACAGGAAGAGCTGAACTGGATCTTTGTCCTGGCTCTCCGTATCCACCATGGCCCACGCAATGCCCTCAGGAAGCCCACAAGCCCAGTGTGAGCGACATGGCGCCTCCCCGCTCGCACAGAGAGTGGCGTGGGGAGGCCAATTAGCTCTGGCCCTGCAGGGAAATACAGCGGGTGATGCAGAGGTGTCCCATCCGGCACCTTCCATCTCCCGGGCAACTGGGCAAAGGGGATCGCAGATCGGTAGCCGTGCGTGGGCTTCCTCGATTCACCGTTGGCGAGGCAGGTGTCGCGTGGGCGAGAACAACCCCCGCCTTGATGCAGTGTGAGCTGCAGGTTCTCTCCCACACTCCTGGCCAACCGGATGCCTCCTCTCCCCCCCTCCAAGGTCAGGGTCCCACCTGGGGGAGGCAACCGACGTGGCTCTTCCCGCGCTGGTTGAGAATGGGCAAGCACGGACGGAGCCAGGATGAGGCTGGAGCCGTTCCAGCCTCTGATCTGGGACCCAAAGCGCCCCGTGCCCCCTGCAGGCAGCATCTGGGGGGTCACCGGGTCACTCCCTACACTAACGAGAAATGACAGATGGGTTTTCAGGCGAAGTCTCATCCCAATTTGTGTGTCACGACGAGCTTCAGTGCCTCCGTCAGTGACCCTCTGGGGAAAATGTTGCCCAGAGCGCATGACTTTCAGTGAGTCGGTCACGGCTGACCCATGGAGGGGGTGAGTGGCCTCCAGCGGGACAAGGTTGTCCAGAGCAGCCTCGGAGGAGTCCAGAAGCCCTGCCCCTTCGCTTGCCGTGCACCTCTAATGGATCGCTCTCTTTGTGGCTCTTGCAATCCTCCTCCGGTGTGTCCTTGCAGAAGATCCAGTTCAAAAAACGGTGGACCGACTTGAAAGGCTGCAACCAGGAAGGGTAAAGCCCTCAGTAAAGCAGAGCCAAAGACGTCGTAGGAGGGAACGCTAAACGAGTTTTTAAGCGTGGCTTTTTTACAGGCAGCCCTGACTTACAGATCTATGCAGAGCTAGGCAGAACTGAACTATGCAGAACTGCAGATCTATGCAGAACTGTTGGAGATGTTCGTACTAAAGGAGAGTTTATAGTGAATCGATCTTAGTATGTTTAAAATTAAATGTATATATCATTATTATACTAATCGCATTTTGCAAAACCAACTCAGTCATTGCAGTCTTTCACAAGACCGAATTCCGCAACCGGTAGCAATTTCACAAACTGTCATAATTCCATACAGATCAATTCTGATTGCATCAGACATACTGAAATAACTCCATCCAAGTCTGGCTGCCCCGAAACCTCTTTAATTTCATGCCTCTTTTCTCTTCCACCTGCAGTCTAATCAGATGTGTCAATTTTAGCACATACGCTGCAGATCAGTCCTTTAAACTTCAGTTAGTAGCCCCTCTGGAGTTGTCCATTGAGATGCAAGCTCGGTTCTTGCTGTTACAATTGAATTGCCACATCCTTCTTGAAACTCTTCACTTATCTGATCTCATATGTACTGAAATATACATGAATTTATTTAAGATTTCGATAAAAATCAAGTCTGTATGGTTAGTGCCTCATTTCCCCAATAAGTTTATTTTTCTGTCTCCTTCTACATATAGTTGTCCCCTGTATTCAGTCTCAGACATCTCCAACCTGTGAATTAGTTAGGCGATTGTTCGTGCTTTTTAATGTTTCCTTTGCACATTTTTATTCCTTTTAAGAATTCGTTTCTTTCAAAGGAAAAAGAGATCTGAGCAATGATATGCTCAGCACTGAACATATTGCAGCATGTTCTCTTTCATATGTGTTTGTGTGTGTACATAATGACTTACCAGTCAGTAGAGTTCGTTCCAGAACGGTTTAATCCACTTCCATTGCTGCTCAAATGTAGCATGCATTACTTTTGGGGCGATCCCATGTTTGCTGGACAGCCATAGGACCCCCGGGGTGTGGAAGGGGCTTCCATGGGAGGTGGTTGAAGCCCCATCGGTGAGGGAGTTCAAGGACAGGGTGGACAGGCACACAGTGAGCATGTCGTGAGCGGAGCCGGCTGGAGCCGGGGGTCAGACTAGATGACCCCGAAGACCCCTTCTGACTCACACTGTTTCTATGTTTCTAACTGAGTCCCCTCCCCTGCCTCAGAGCCGGCATGGAAAGGCACTGCTTCTCCAAAGCTGCAAACACATCCTCGGAGGAGGCCCTTGTGGGTGTTCCGGGAAGGGGCCGACTGGCACCATCACCCTGGCAGCTCGGAGCCTCGATTTCCCACACTGCAAGGTGTGGCCCCCGCTGCTGAGGTGTTTTGGGGGGTGGAAGTGCAAGGGACTGTGCCCTTCCCTTGCGAGGGTCCCGTGCCCTGATCTAGCATGCATAAAGCCCAAATCCAGGCCCATCGGCTGGGCAGCCGAGGCACTGCTTCTTCACGCAAGTTTCTGCATCTCCTCTTTTATTACTAATCCCCAGTCACACCTCCGCATATATTTTTAATGCTTTTGTCCTTTTCTGCGTACTGTATTTGGAAGGCATTGATCTTAGACTCTAGACCTTTGGACGTAGTCAGTGAAGGTATAATCATTTCGAACCGAGTTGAGGCTGTCCTCTCAGGTACCTTTTTAAGTAAAATGCATTCTCTGGAAGTGTCAGGAGAAAAAACAGCCTCTTTCTATCCATTCTGTTAAAGAGAACCTCAGGCTGCCACATTTGGCCATTTTGAATAGGAGTCCATTATTCCTGTAAACACTAAATCGTTTCCAAGCATTATTTAAAAGATCCCTTCCATCAAGACCTTAATTGTGCAAAATGGATGTTAAAGGTTAGATTTCTGACCTTGGGTTGTTTTGTACCCCATCCCAGGCCAGTTATAAAAATATAATCAAGGTCTTGTGTTTTTATCTCTCCCCCTCCCTGCACCAAATTACCTAGGCTGGCTTTTTCCCCCTTCTCCCCCCATGCACTGAAAAAACCATTCAATCTACAGCAAGACTGCAAGGCAAAGCAGCAATCCCAGGCGTGCTTAAATGGGGGAAAGGCCAGCAACTCCCAGCATGCCCGGCCCATGTGGCTTTTTTCATCTCAGTATGTCCCTTGAGGTTGCTGTCGTGTGTGCACATGGAGCGAAACGGATCTTTCCATTCCCAGACCGAAGTTCCAGACTAGCCCCTGGCGGATTTTCCTCCAGAAGGGAGGGAAAGGTCTGTTTCCAGAAGGGTGCACAGCGGTCCATCCTGGTTCCTTCCTGGTCTGCCGGACGAACACTCCCATCATCCCCAGCCAGCACAGCTAGTGGCTCTGTGGATGGAGCGTGATGGCAATTGTTGTCCGGCTCAGCTGAAGGAGAATCCTGTAATCCATGGAATCCATTCAAAGGTTCTGGAAGCGCCTCCCCCTCTTGTAATGTCACAACTTGGGGGTCTCTTGGGGGCGATTCGGGGCCAGTGGAAGCTCCGGTACCTTCAGGAGAAGCAGAATCGATTTTCAGAGCTCACTGGTGGCAGGTCGTGCCGATGTCCTCTGGGGCAGATGGGCTTGCAAGCCGTGTGGGGAGGAGGGGATTGGGCCCATGCAGAGGGAGGAGAGAGGGTCTGACCCATAGCAACGGGCTTGGTGGAGCTGCAGGCCACCGAATCTGTGCCCTGACCGGAAGGGCCTGTAGGTCGGACCCAGAGGGGCCCGTTGCTCTCAAAACCCTCCCGGGATGCTCTCGTCCGGTCTGGTGGGACCATCCAGTGACTGGCTGGCAGGTGTCCCCTGGGGCTGGCTGGGGGTGCGGTGATGTTCTGCAGCGCTCTCGACCCTTCTGACCGCGGGCTGCCCTGCTTCTTGCTCTCGCGTAGCCGGACGAGCTCACCAACGCCCTCGAGATCAGCAATATCGTCTTCACTAGCATGTTTGCCCTGGAGATGCTCCTCAAGCTGCTGGCCTTCGGCATCTGGGACTACATCAAGAATCCCTACAACATTTTTGACAGCATCATCGTGGTGATCAGGTACTTCGGCACGCGCGGGGCTGACAGTCAGGGCCACCTGCCTGACGTGGGGGTGGAAGCGTCAACGGGAACGAACTCCCTCCAAAGACGCGGCCAGGCCTCGTTACCTCCAGTCTTGGGGGACCACCAGGCCAGCATCTCGAGTCCATCGCTTTCCTCCACCTCGAGCTGGAGAGAAGAGCTGGACCACCTCCCAGGCCCCAGGGCTCACGCTCCCTCCCAGCTGCCCCCCACCGGCCCCTGAGGCCGCTCCCCGCTGCCCAGCCATTCCAGGGGCTCCTGCCCCCTCCCACACACGCCCTCCCCATGCCTGGTTTGATGCTGGGCAGGCGCCAGGCGCACGTAGCCCAAGCCGCAGATGGCTCTGGGTCAGGGGCGCACGGGGTCCATTTCCCTGGGGGCTGAGTCTCGAAGGAGATGCTCCGATGGGACACGTTCTGGGGGTGGAGGCACGTTGGAGCCAGGAGAGCAGCACGGCGAGGGGCGCGGCCCCTGGAGGGCCAGGCAGGCTCGGGGCCGGGGGCTCTGCACCCCGGGGCCTCCGACCCCCGGTGGAGGGCGGCCGAGGCTCACCCGTCCCTCGTTTCCTCCTGCAGCGTCTGGGAGATCATGGGCCAGTCGGACGGAGGCCTCTCCGTGCTGAGAACCTTCCGTCTCCTCAGGGTCCTCAAGCTGGTCAGGTTCATGCCCGCCCTGCGGCGCCAGCTGGTGGTCCTGATGAAGACCATGGACAACGTGGCCACCTTCTGCATGCTGCTCATGCTCTTCATCTTCATCTTCAGGTGAGTGCCGGACCCTGCGCGCACGCGCCCGCCCGCTCTCCGCGGCCCTCCACCCGATCGGTCGGCCCCTCGCTCGTCTCCACACTGCCCGGGTCGGAGTGACGGCAGGCCAGCTGGCTGAGGCTGGGTGGGTGGGCTTCCCCTCCGGCCACCCCGGAGCAAAGAGAGGTGGCAGAGGACCGCCGCCGGCAAAAGCATGGTGCGCGACCGACGGCGAGCGCCGCTGAGGTGGCAGAACCGGAACCCAAGACGCCGCTGCTGAGGGTGGGAGGGGGCCGAGCATCTTGCTCCGCGTCTCTCCCCCTTCTGCCATCGCAGAGGCAGGAGCACGGCGTCCTGCTGGCACAGGGGCCCCTCTTTCCTTCAGAGAACTTCCTCGAAATGCGCTTGGCACAGTGTCCTTCCGGCGAGTGCCTGGGGCTTTTTCAGAGGAAGCAGAGCGGGGCTTCGCAAACGGCAAAGGGCCCCTTGCCCCGATGGAGAGGAGCACAGTGCGTGTGCGGGTTTGCGGTAAAGCAGTTGCAGATCTGCCACACGGATGGACGTGCTTTGGCGCATCTTCTGCTTCTAAAAAGACTCTGAAGGACCCGAGGGGTGGTGGAATTGCAGCGCTCATGCGCAGGCATGCGCAGAGCCGGCAGGATCATGCGTGTGACTGGCTCCCCCACGCACCTGGCAGTAAAGAGCACTTTCACGCAAAACATTCAGGATGTGTTCGTCAGCCCGTATTCACTACTGTTTGTGGGTGCTTTGTACGTCATTGTGACCCTCCAGCTTTAAGAGCGCTTTCCATGAAGACTTTTCAGAATGGGGAAAAGGTGGTATTGTTGGAAGGAAATGAAAAGAAAACCCCTGTTCCTGCCGCTTGCCAGTTGTGCTATTGCACTATACCACAGTGCCACCTAGAGGTCACTTGTGGAAAAGCAGCAAGTGAGGTGTTTCTCTCTTCTTTTTTCCCTACGGTGCTCAAATCTCAGTTGTGCAACAAAACTGGAAATAGATGCCCTGGGTTTTCTCCAGCCTTGTGCAGGAAAGCCCAAAGGGGGGAGCGCTCAGCCAGAAAAAGGTCCTACGCTTCCCAGTATTCCTCTGCTGGCCCTGTTCCTTATTCTCTGTGAGCCACCCCGAGGCTTTGTTGCGATGGGGGCGGCATAGAAATGTTTTAAATAAATAATGTACAGGGCTGTGCCCTGAAGCGCTTCTTGCCAGTCACTAAACCTTGGGAAAGGCATTTCGATGTTCCAGAAATGGGGGATCGCTGCACAAAATGCTGGACTTCACTAAAAATTGGTGGTTGGGGAAAGTGGATGTAAGCCAGGGAAAGGGGGTGGCCCCCTGGGAACCAGCACAGGGCAAAGGTGGGGCCCATTTCACAAATTCTCTCTCTCTCTTTCTCCCGCTCTCTCCTTTCCAGCATTCTTGGTATGCATCTTTTTGGATGCAAGTTTGGACTGAAAACGGATACAGGGGACACGATGCCAGACAGGAAGAATTTTGATACCTTGCTGTGGGCGATAGTCACTGTTTTCCAGGTAAGGCCCCTCAGGGGACCATGTCCCACCAAGTTCAAAAAGGCAGCTCCAGTTTGCAGGCGGAGGCCGTCCAGGCCTCGGGGCCCTTTGCTGTCCTCGGTAGAGCCATTTCCAGCAGATATGTTCCATGCCAGAAAGTAGCCCTGTTGCTCCTTCAGCCACAGGGAGGATGCATTGCAAAGGGCATCAGGTCTCTGCCCTGAGGGGGTTGCAGTCTTAAAGGGGCACCATGGAATTCTGGGCTTGGATGAAGGACCAAGGCTGCCCGACTCTCGTCACCTACGGTACGTTGACTCGCTTTCCTTGACCGGCTGCTTTTTAATTTAAGTGGTGGTGAGTTTGGGGCAGGAGACTATTTGGGTGCTGCTTTTACGGCAAGGTCAAGCCATCGTCGGTGACTTGGAAGCAGCTCGGCCGGGGGTTTGAACTCCTGGCTGTTTAGGATCGGCAGCAACAAAATGCACGGCCCCGTTTCGTGCCTCTGAGCCTCAGGGTTTCCCTGCTGCAAAACGGGGCTTCTGCGGGATGCAGTTTTGCGAGGGATGCACTCCTTGGCCGCTCTTGCACGAAGCGTTTTGGCCGCGGCGGCTTGCCCCTCACCACCAAAAATGAATATTCTGGGTGCCTTCGGCCAGGCCTGTGAGTCAGACACCCGCAGTATGATTCCAACAAGCGCTGATGCCCGAGCTTTTATCTGGGGAAGTGCAAGATTTAGACAGACTTTGGGAAACAAATGGCCTTTACAGGACAAATTACTCCTGCGGCCTCTAGCCTCGGGAAACGCCGGCTCGGCCCATTTCGGCCCATCTTGTTGAGATAAACAAGCAATGGAGATCAAGTAATGGGCCGCCGAGCGAAATTGACATCCGCTCCGTGGAGTGCACGCTCGCACCGCCTCGCCTTAATAGAGGTGCCAGCGCTATTTTCACAGCAAATCTCACCAGTAAATAAATTCGGCAGCCGGCACGAAGGCTGAGCGAGGCGCTTTCTGCTGAGGTTAAGAGGAGCCGCAGCACTCAATTGAGCTGCAGGTTGTTCTCCGCTGACCCGCAGCTCTTGAGGGGCCGTGGCTGAGTCGTGGCCGTTCCGAAGACGACCGTCCCGGCCGTGGTTGAGCGGAGGTCAGGGAGCTCTCGCAAATGCCGGTGCCTCTCCGCACGAGGGCCTCTCATTCTGAGAACTTGGCACGGTGGGCTTGGCTCAAGTCAGGTCTCGCCGTGCCGCCCCCCGTCATGCCCGGACCCCAGCTCTGGCTTCCCGGCGATCAGCAGGCCCTGGTGGCTGAGGGCCAGAGGAGGGGTTACCCAGCACCAGGTCCCGCCAGCGGGCCAGCTGCTTCCGTCGCCCCCGGCGGCATCGCACGGTGCCCGGCACAGCTGCGCCCCCGCCACTCCCTGTGGGAAGCAGTGGGACGGCGAGGGGGAACAGGCTGCGTGCGGAGCTGGGGGGGCGGGCGAGGCCGCCTCGAGGGCCAGAGGGAAGTGCCCGAGCGGCCCCTCCTCACGCCCCCCCCCCGTCCTGCTCTGCGCAGATCCTCACCCAGGAAGACTGGAACGTGGTCCTGTACAACGGCATGGCCTCCACCTCCTCCTGGGCCGCGCTCTACTTTGTGGCGCTGATGACCTTCGGGAACTACGTGCTCTTCAACCTCCTGGTCGCCATCTTGGTGGAGGGGTTCCAGGCGGAGGTAAGGGGGCCGGCGGCGTGGGGCGGCCACGGAGGGTGGCTCAGAACGGCGGGCGTGTGGGACCCCCAAGCCCCCAGCAAGGTGGCCGCTGCCACCTCATGCCCACAAAGTGCAAGTCCCAGCAGGAGGGGCCTCCAGAGGAGCAGAGCAGCACGGCGATGCGTTCCGTGCGAGCACACGCGTGTGTAAGCTTTTTCCAGCCAGGAACCCGAGGCGACTTGCACGGCCCCCGTCCTGCCCCGCAACAGATCTTCGCAACAGCCTGTTGGAGGCTGGCCCCGAGTCACAGGGAGCTTCGTGGCAGGTGGGGATGGGGACCCCCCCTCTCCCGGGCCCCTGGCCCAGGGCTCTCACGCCGACGCAGCTCTAGCAGCCAGAATATCGATTTAATCAGATATCACAGAATCATAGAAGGGTAGCGTTGGAAGGGGGCAAGAAGGCCATCGGGCCCCCCCCCCCCCGCTGTGGCAGGACCCCACGTCACACCGTCCCACTCAGGGGGCTGTCCAGTTTCTTTTGGATGTCTCCAGTGTGGGGGAGCCCCCCACCTCTCCGGGCAGCTGGATCCCCTGTCGTGTTGCTCTGACTGTGAGGAAGCCTTTCCTGATGCCCAGCCTGGATCTGGGTGGTCGCAGCTTGACTATTCCGTGTCCTGCGCTCCGGCATCAGCAAGAAGAGACCTTGGCCTTCCTCTTTGGGGCAGCTTTTGAGGGACTAGCGGAAGATCTCATGTCCCACCTCAGTCTGTGAGAAGCGAGCAGCGTGAGTGAGAAGCGTGAGAAGCGGCTCCGCTCTCCGAGGCAGGGGTCCCGCAGAGGGGCAGAAGGAAGGGCGCCCGCCTCTGCTGTGTGGAAGAGCACTTCCCACTGCACGCCGGGGTGCTCAGAGCCACCTCTGCCCGCTGCCGTTGCCCGGAAGGGGCTCTTCCCGGGGCGAGGCGGCGACCAGCGGCCTGGTGTGAGCCGGGCGCTTTGAGAACGAGGCTGGCTTCGCAGGTTGGCCTGGCTGTGCCGACCAAGCCCACACCCGGCAGCGGCCCACCGGCCAGCACCCCAGACAGGCTGCCCCCCCCCCCCCGCAGCCTGCTTCTCCTGCATAGCAGTGGTGGCAAGAAGGTGACCGGGGGCTGAGGAGGGGGCGGCTGAGGCAGAGCGTCTGGCCACAGGCCCTCCAAAACCAGGAGCTGGCCCTGCGCAGCCAGGGCCAAGGAGCAGCCAAGAATTTCGGGGTGCCCCCGAGCCGGGGCAGGCGGGGGCAGCTGCCTCAGGCGCAGTTGCTGGTGGGGGGCTCTGGCGGCGGTTCCCAGGCAGGTGCCCCTGAGCGTCCACCGGCGCCTCCTTCCTCTCTCGGAGGAGGGTGCTGCCATGCAACCTCTCTGGCAGCCCCTGTGCTGGCCCCCCGGCACTGCACCGAGCGAGTGGACCCTCCCCTGCGGGAAGAGGCTGTCCGGGAGGGGCGGGGGCTCCCCTCTCCCTCCGGTGCAAAGCGCCTCAGCCCAGAGCCGGAGAAGGCCTCGTGGCCCCAGGCGAGGTGCAGCCAGAACTGGACTTCTGCCGGCCCAGGGGCGGCCCGTGGCGAGTCCAGATGGGTGGGAACCTGGCCAACCTGCCCCCTCCCCGGGAAGCTGCCACCCATCAGCCGAAGGCCCGCTGTGCTGCTTGCTGCGTGGCTTTGCAGTGGCCCTCCGAGCATTTTCAGCCTCGGCAGCTGCCGGCCCAGTGCTCGGGCATATGGGGCCGTCGCCCCCGGTGCGTGCAGGGCCCCAGGCCAGGGAAGGCATCTCCAGCCGTCCTGTTGGGGTCGCCCTCCTCCTCGCCTCTGGCTTCCTTGGCCTTCGTCAGGTGGTAATTGCTGCCACGCAGAGAGAATCCGTGGCCGCCGCCGCCACCGCCACTCACCAGCACGAGAGCGTTTTTACAGAAAACCCCAATTAGGGCTCCTTCAAAGAGCGGATGCTCTGCTTGAGGGGATCCTGTGTGTTCATCCTGGGCTGACTGGGTTAAAACTGGCAGGGCCGCCCTCGCGGCGGGGCTCGGTGAGGCCTCGCTCTGGCACGGGCTAATTGGCTCTGGTCGCTGTGGGGAGACGCTCCTCGCCTTCAGGGGTGCCTCTGCGCGCCCGTCCGCGGCACTTTGCTCCGAGTGGGAGAGGAAAGACCGGCTCTCAGGGCAGAGGTTCACGGCCTGAATGGGCTGGTCGGTGGTGGGCCGAAGTGGAAGTGGATTTGCGGGGGGCCGGGGCTGCTCTCAGCTCTGATCCTCCTCTTGCCTTGGGCAAAACTTGTGCCTCAGTTTCCCGAGTCGGCACAGAGCGGGAAGTGCAAAGAAAAGTAGTCCTTATCGTAGGAAAACTGGAGGATTACTTTGGGTGGTGTGCCGGGAGAAGTCGGACGCCAGCCCAGAGAGACCGCTGGGAGACGGCCCCCGGCCCAGGGCAGACCAAGCAGGAGGGGCGTTCAGCCCAGCCCTGCCCCCAGCTTGTCTGCGTACCCAGGGAAGCAGGTGCTCCTCGCTCGTGGCAGAAGCGTCTCCTGGAATCCAGTCCGCGGCTGTGCTCAGCTTGGAGACCAGCTGGAGCCGGGTGGGGAGGGAGGCCTTTGTCCGGGAAGGGGGCCCAGGCTCGCTCGGACGCCGGGCGACCCTTCCTCCCGCGCTTCTGCAGTGCGCTCTCTTCCCTGAATTAGGGAGCCATGGCCCCTTCGGCCGCACCAGCAGCCGCGTCAGGATTGCGCTTGTCTCTGCCTCGCGGCTTCGGCATGGCCGCTTCTTCTGCCCGGAGGCTTCCCCTCACCAGCCGGACTGGGCAGGCAGCTGGCACCTGGGGGCCCAGGAGGTGACGGAGGCGGCGATCGCTCTGGCTGCACCTGGCTTGGGAGCAACAGTCGGGCTGGGCCCCTGAGTGCAGGACGGCCACACGCACGGAGGGTGGGGGGGAGGGGGCCCCGCGGAACCTGGGGGGGCCCAGATGAAGGCTCTGATCCAGCTCGTCAGCCGGGCGCCTGGCACGCGTGTCCCTTGTCAGGCAGAGCGCCCAGAGGAGCTGCTTGACGCTGCTTTGACGGGCCCATTAGCATTCGGATGACTGACATGTGCGGGTCCGAGTTTGATCGTGTGGGATGTTATTTGCTTTTCGGCGCCAGGCGAAGACCTTTTTATTCAAACGTTATTTTAATTGTTAATATTATTTATTTATTTTATTCTTTGGCCAGGGCGACTTAATTTAGACTGTTAAATTATATGTTATTTATTTATGATTGTGAGCCGCCCCGAGGCTTCGGCGAATGGGGCGGCATAGAAGTTCCCTAAATAAATAAATAAATAAATAAATAAATAAATAAAGGCCTCGAGTCCAGCAGGGCCGTTTCGGCGCAGGTGTGCGGGAGACGCGTGGCCCCTCATCGGAGGGTCTGTCCCGCTTTTGCCAGGTCAGCGTAAATTGGGAGCGAGGCAGCCAGGCCCAGTCTGGCCATTCGCCGAGCTTCATCCTCTGGACGCGACCCCAGGTGGAGGATGGAGGCGAGGATGACCGTCTCGCCTTGGGAACTGCTGTTTGGTGACGTCTCCCAGGAGGAGCACCTGAAGTGCCGCTGCCGGGGCTCTCTGTTGATTAGCCAGGACAGAAAACTGGGGGCCGGCATGGACTGGACTGGCCCCGACAAAGAACAGGGCCAACCTAATTCGGAAGCTGATCCGTTCAAGGGATACCTATGAAAATGCAGCTTCCTGGCAGGAGGACAAGACGCTTCTGCTCCCAAAAAATCCGGCCTGCGTTTCCAGGGAACCGTACGTGCACCTGGTCTCTCCTGCTGAACTGGAAAGTAACGGAGGACCAGATTCCCAGACAAGGTTCAATGGATTCAAAGTCACCTCTGTGAAGCACCGGACATCTACTTGTTTTTTGGATATTTTGGTCGAGCGGGTGGTGCAGAGAATCTGGGAACCCTGGAAGCACCCGCTCACCAGAGCGCAGTCCCAGGAGCCCTGCTGGGAAGGGGCGAGCGTTACACCCGCCTGAAGGCAGATGCGTCGAAGCATTTTCAGCATGAGGCATGGATTAGGCACTTGTGATCCTTACGTGTGGTTGCTTCGTGGGCTCTTTAGACAATGCCCTGACCCGCCAGTTTTGTTTCTGCTTTTTCGGAGCACTTTCCTGGTTGGTTTTTGTTTTCGAATGGGGGAAGCGGGGTGTTATTTTGGAACGGGGGAAATGGTGCCCTTTCCCCTTGCGCGTTTGGGCTGCTCTGCTTTGCTACCTAGAGACAGCCAAGCCGAACGAGACGAGCTCAGACCCTTCCTGTAGAAAAGCTTGGAGTCTCCTTGGGAGAAAGCATCGCTTCCATTTAGGGGCCCGCCTCTCCTCTCGTCTGCTAAGTGTACATGCCGTTGCCACGAAATCTTCTAGTTCAGGATCTGAGCCTCGGCATGAATATTAATTTTGGGGAATTATATAACTGACTGTGTGAGCTACAGGGCAGAGTTCCCCTCCAGATTCTCCAATTTCCTGTCTGTGTGAACGGTGCGCGTGCACAAAACTGAAACTGGCAATTGTGTACAACGCTCTCCATAAATATGTAATTACAGTCTTGGAGGCGGGAAGCAGGGCTGCGCTTTGCCGCCGGTAGTTAATGGCTCCTATTGGAGCCGTAACGCGGTGCGGTTCGAATGTACAGCAAGACTTATCTCGTCTTTTAAGAAAAGCGCTGAATTATTCATTTAATGATAGCACAAAAGACGTGCCCAGAAAAGACGTTCGCCGTCCATTGTTTTCGTCCGTCGTTTCACTGAGAAGGCTGGCGACTGAGTTGAAGCTGGGGGCCGTACTTGAGGAGGGGGTCTCGGTAGCCCCTCCTCAACTCCAAATCCCAAAGCAGAAACACACTGTATAAAGCACGAGTCACGGAGGCTCAGCCCTGCCTACCTCACAGGGTTGTTGTGGTGCAGATAAGGTCGAGAGGAGGAGGAGGAGGAGGATGCAAAGCACTTTGAGTTCTTTGTAAGATAACAGGTAGGGTACACATCAAATAAATAAATAAGACCATTCAGCCAGTGTGGCATAGTGGTTAAGAGCACGGGACTGGGACTCAGGCGATCCGGGTTCGAGTCCCCGCTCGCCATGGAGCCCACTGGGGGGCTTTGGGCCAGTCACGGACGCTCAGCCCAGCCTGCCTCACAGGGTTGTTGTTGTGGGGATGAGATGGAGGAGGAGAATGATGTGAGCTGCCTTGAGCCCTTTGAGGAAAAAGGCAGGATATACATCGAAAAATAAATAAGTAAATATTCAGCGGTGGCATATAATGCCACTGGAATAGCTTCTCTCCAGCAGGTCAGCTGCTGCCTACAGTATAGACACTTTTAGTGACGGAGGGAGACATTTCTTCTTCTCCCAGTCATTTCTGAGGAGCGGCTTCTCCGGCGTTTGCGGTGCTGTTGCGGCCGCTTCGGCTTTGTCTTTGTGTGCTGCCGCGTTGCCACTCTTCGCTGCTGATTCTATCTGGGATTTTTCGTGTCCTGTTTGTAATTTAAAAGTTTTACAGCTTGCCTCTTATCGCTTTATGTATCGTACACCATGCACAGAACTTGGATGATGGGGCAGTTTTAAAGGATGATGGATGACTCCCTGAATTAACTGGACAGGTTTCTTTCTTTCGGTGCTCGACGCTCAGGCACAGGGGAAGTTAACTCGAGGAGTCACTTTGGAAGCTGGACTCCTTCCAGCAGCTTCCACCGGGAATCTGCCTTGCTTGGGATGCAGGCGGCTTTGCCCGGCTGGCCGCTGCCAAAGAGCCGAATTGGGGCGCTTCATTTAGTGACTTCTGCCTCCCGTCCTCCTCCCAGGGAGACGCCAGCAGGTCGGACTCCGACGAGGACAAGACCTCCTTCAACTTTGAGGAAGAGTTTGAGAAGCTGAAGGAGATGTATGCTTCAGGTAAACTGGGCCCGGGGACCCCTGAATCCACAGCAGTGGGGCCCCAGGGGGGTGGGCACGGCCATCCGAGGAGCCCCGGGTTTGGGACTCTGCCCCCTGGTTCAAGGGGCTCGCAGCTGGGAGTTTCCAGCCGTTGCCCCCGATCCTGAAGGTCCCGGTCTGGCCACTCTTCCAGAGATGAAGATGTGCTCACTCGCCGTCACGCCCAACGGCCACCTGGAGGGCAAGGGCACCAAGCCCCCGCCCATCATCCTGTGCACGGCGGCCACCCCCATGGCCACCCCCAAGTGCTCTCCTCACCTGGACCCGGCCTACCCCTTTGTGGACTCCAGGCGGGGCAGCAGCGCCTCGGTGGACCCGCTGAGCTTCGACCAGAAATCCCTGGTAACTCGCAGTCGGTGGTGCCGGGGGGAGGGGGGCTTGGGTGCGTGGGCCCCGCGTGGGGGGGCCTCAGACAGTGGCCAGGGTGCTGGAAATGCCCCGGGCCGGGTCCCTGCCCCGCCGGTCCGCGCTGGGGCCCATCCACGCGAGGCCGTCTGCGGAGCGGGTGTCTCCGCCTCGCGGGCACACGTCTTGCTCCTCCTCGAGTCCGAGCGGGTGCCCCCTCGGTGGCTGGGGGGGGCCCCTGGCCGGTGTCCCTCCAGCCCCCCGGCTGGCGAGGAGTGGGGGGCCTCCGTCAGCCCGCGGGCTGAGCTCCGCTTGGGAAAGCTCTCGGGCACTGCTCCACCGTGGGGGGCAGGCCAAAGCTCAGGGGAGCCAGGGAGGATTTGGCTCGGAGGCCCGACTGCTCATCACTCAGCCCCAGGGGAGGGGTCTCGGGCTCTCGGACAGTCCAGGGGGCCGTGCAAAGGCGGGGAAACCTCCGGGAGCCGGGGCGGGGGGCTGTGCTCGGGAACGGAGCACGGCCGTCCGGGGACCCCTGGCGGGAGACACGGGGGATGCGGCCGGGGGAGCAGATCGGCCACAGGCCCGGCTGAGACGCTGCCCGCTCTCCCCGCCTCCCGCAGTCCAGCCTCCGCAGCTCGCCCTGCACCAACTGGGGCAGCCGCCGCTCGAGCTGGAACAGCCTGGGCCGGGCGCCGAGCCTGAAGAAGAAGAGCCAGTGCGGGGAGCGCGAGTCTCTGCTCTCCGGCGAGGGGAAGGGAAGCACCGACGACGAGGCCGAGGACGGCAAGCCCGCCGCCCGCGGCTGCCCGCCCTCGCACCGCCGCGCCGAGTCCCTCGACTGCCGGGGGGCGCTGGAGCTGCCGGAGCTGCTGCAGGTGCCCGGGGCGCGCCCCCCGCTGGGCCTGGGCCCCATGGCCGTGCTGCCAGCCGAGTTCCCGGACTGCAAGGGCAAGCTGCTGCGGGTGCCCAGCGAGTTCCACCTGCACATGGACGGCCACAAGGACGACCCCCTGGACTACGAGGACGACCTGGAGGACGTGAGTCCGCGGGGGCGAGCTGCGGCCCCCCTCCTCAGATGGTGGCCCCAGGGCAGCCGCCAGGCGGGACGGAGGTGCCCACTGCCCTCCCCACCACTTCCCGGTCGAGCTCTCCGGCCGCGTCTCTGGCCGGCATCCCTGCCGGCGGCGAGCAGGCAAACGTTGCCCCGGCCACCGGCATTCCCGGCAAGGGCTGCATGACACGGTCCCTGTGAGCCGCAGTGCGTTCCGGGGCCGGGGCACCCCGAGGGAGCGTTGCCACGAAGGTTTGGGCGGTCAAGCCGAGCAGGCCGCGAGGTCCTGCAGGCCGGCCGGGTCTTCCCCGGGGTTGCCGCCTTGCCCCCAAGCCGCCTGGAGCCCCTCCGGGCCCTGCGTGGGGCTTTTCGGTTTGGAAGTGAGGCGAGCATCCGGTTGGAGTCCGCTGGTCCTTGTCAAGCCGGACTCCCCTCATGGCCCGCATTCCAGCTCCGCTCGTTTTCCTCGTGAGTGATCCCACCATGCCCCTCTTTGGTATCAAAGGCCAGCCTCGCTGGTCAACGCTGAGGCATTAAAAACTTGGAGCTGAGAAGCTTGAGTCTTGATCTGTGGGGGTGGGGAGGAAGAGGAGGGGGAGCAAGGCCGTGCCACAGGCACCTTTTGCTGCATCTGTTCCCTCTTGTCTTCCTTATTCAAAAACTCAACCATTTTTGGTGGCCCACGAGAACAGAATTTGAAAGTTCGCCTAAACACACGATCATAACCTGCCAACAGATCGGCTAAACACCCCCATTAGCGGAGAAGACCACCAGCCTAAGCAGCCTCCATGCGCGTCTTTCTCCGTCTTTAAGCAAAACAACAAACACTCCCCCTTAGCTTTGAAATCCGCGGAGCCCACCCTAGCGCGGAGTCAATATGCACATCCAGTGGGAATACCATTCAGGCCAGGCAGCGCGGAAAGGAGGCGCTTGGCATGAGAAGGCGGGTGTCAAGAGCGAGCCCCCGTTTCATCCACGAGAGGCTGGCAGGGCCCTTTTTGATTGTTTGCTCGTTTGTTCGGCACACGCATTTCCTGCCTTCCCTCCGGGGAGCTTCAGGAAATGCAAAAATAGCACCTTCTCCTCCGTGCAGAGCTACTGCTACAGGATCCGCAAGGCCCTGGACCCGTACCGGCCCAGGTGGTGCAAGACTCATGAGGACTGGTCGCTCTACCTGTTTTCACCGCAGAATCGGTAAGCGCTCCGCCGTCGGACTGCCGCTTCCCCTCCCCCTTTCTTTGTTCCCACAAACGGTGCTCTGGCATCGCAGGGCACTGTCTCAGACCCCTGCCGGCCACGGCTGCGCTGGAAAGCATGGGAAGGAACTTTGCGGCAAAACTGATTCCACGGGGAGCAAAGACTTCAGAGAGCTGCAACCCGCTGCTGCCTTTGAAGGACGAGAGGGAGCCGTTTTGGGCTCCTTTGCCGGGACCAACCGGCACGTTGCGCCAAGGCAGAAAATCTCTCCGGGTCAAAGGAAGGGGTCGGTGCAGCAGCAGCTGCTGATACCCCTGGCATTCATTTCCCCTGCCCCGAGAGAATGGCGAGCCAGTTTCAGTGGCGAGGGCACCGATGTTGGTGCGCAGCATTCCTCACAACGGACTTTGCAGCGCCCCGAGAAGCCCGTCCTGAGGTCTCCGTGCCCCCCAGGAGCAGATTCTTGGGGAAAGCAAGGGGGTCTCCATCAGCCCAGCCCAGCTCACCGTGCTTTGCATCGCGACAGCGACCGTATCTTCTCCTTGGAAAATTCGTTTCCCTAGCTGCTGGGGGGAATGCGGCTAAGCTTGGCCGGGGGATGTTCTGGGGGAAATTTGCTGGGGCAGGAATCTGTTCCCACAGCGGGAAGCCCATAGGAAGGACTGTCGATTTGCAAGATCCCCCCCCCCCCAAGCATGAAGGCCTCCCTAAGCCACATCTGTTTACATACCCGAATCACTCTTAAAATATTGATACTAACTCCACGCTTAAAATATTCATACGGACATCAAGTTCGGTTTTAGAAACAAATTCGATTAGAGTGATAATGGTAAGCAGTTAGGAGGGGGCCGTGGTGGGGGTGGGTTTCTTTGCAAGCCGGGGTGCCTGTGAGGGACACTCCGTCTTCTGCCTCCCCAACAGCACGAGGAGGTCTTCTCCGCAGGGTGGGCGTTGCTACCCAGAAGGCCTGCCTTGGGGTATCGCTCGGCAGTGCTCTGAGAATTGCCGCTTGAGAGAGGTATTCCTGCCACTCGGTGCGACTCTGGTGCACCCGCAGCTGGAGGATTGTGCTCAGCTCTGGGCCCCTCATCACAGGAGGGATATAGCCAGGTTGGAGTCAGTGCAGCGCAGGGCCACAGGGGTGGAGGCCGGTTTGCAGGGGAAGGCGGGACTGAGGGAGCTGGGTCTTCTCAGCCTGGAGCGGAGGGACTCCAAGGGGATCTGTTGGTGACACGGAGCTGGGTGGAGACCCATTCTCCCCTGCAGAGGAAGGCAGGACGTGCTCCAACGGAGCCAAGCTCAAGGAGCCCAGGTTCCGTTTGGATGCCAGGAAGCACTTCCGGACAGTCGGGACCCCAAGGGTGTGGAATGGGCTCCCACGGGAGGTGGCTGAGGCCCCATCAATGAGGGTGTTCAAGGATAGGCTGGACGTGCACATGGTGGGCATGTCATGAGCGGAGCCGGCTGGGGCCGGGGGTCAGACGAGATGGCCCGGGAGGCCCCTTTGGCTCGCTCTGTTTCTCTGCTTCTAATTCGGGCATGGCCGGCTGGGCTCCCCTGACTAGGCTGTTGGTGCCTGGAAGGGAAGGTGTCCTGTCCCCGAGTCGTTTCAGCCTCCGTAAGTCTGCAGCATCCCACCCGGCTGCTGCTCCCCAGCGGTCGGGCTCCAGAGGCGTGCCACAACTGCCCCAGGAAAGATGGGCCCACGAGTCTGACAGCAGAGGGCAGGCAGAGTTGCCCCCTCGCTGGGAAATTTGCGAGCTTCCCGGCCCCCCCGAAGCAGCCCCTCCTTTGCGCAGGGAAAAGGGAGGCCGTGGGCCCTGCTTGACATGCTCGGGAGGCGATGTGTAGTGTGGAGGCGACTGCAGAAGGGGGGCTGCGCTGGAGCGACGCAGCCACGGAGGGCCTGGCGGGGGGGCTCTGTGCATCGGCGGGCGGCAGTCTCACGGCCCACTCCGGCTCCCGGGGAGCTGTGTGATCTTGCACGAAGAGGGCCCCTTCCAAGCAGAGGACGGTGCTCCGGCAGCCGTCCAGCCGAGGCCCGTCTGCCGCAAGCCGGGGCTCACGGTCACCCCGCCTCTGCTGCCTCTTGTCTTCCAGGCTTCGGGCCACCTGCCAAAAGGTGATCGCGCACAAGATGTTCGACCACGTGGTTCTGGTGTTCATCTTCCTCAACTGTATCACCATCGCCCTGGAGAGGCCGGACATCGATCCGAACAGCACGGTGAGCCCGGCCTCTTCCCCAGGCCCCACGGGGAGGCAGTGCCCCTCACTGGGGGGCGCAGGCTGCGAGTGGGCGGTAAAGCTTGCAGCCCACGGGCCGGACCCCCCTTGGGACGACCGCCCGGGGCCCCTGGAAGCGAAGCGGCAGGGCCAGACTGGAAGAGGGGCGAAGAGCCCCGGGAGCCCAGCCCATTTGGCGACGGCTGGTGCCCACGACCGAGACCCGGGAGAGGGAGTCCAGCTCTGTGGGATGGAGCTGGGAAATGGCCACATCGTGGGTGGTTGTGGGGAGGGTCCCAGGAGGGCTGGCTCTGGCCATCGCATGGCCCACCCTGCTTCAGTCGCTGAAGACCCACAGGCCGATTTCGGGGCCTTCTTTCCACTATGACCAGGACGCGTACAGGTGAGCCCTCCTTCCCACAGAGCAGACGTGGGCATCGTACGGCCCGCGGGCCACAGCCGGCCCCATGGCTGACCCTGACTGGCCCGCAGGCAGTCCATGGCAAATTAAAAGTCAATGCAAATATAGATCGTCGTAATCTAGATGCAAGCAATACAACTGCACTGCTTTTATTTTGACGGATCTGCTAAACTGAATTGAATTGATTGCTTTTCATGTAATGTTAATGTTTTTGTGAATATTCATTAAATAGTGTTGTTCTGTGCTCCACATTTTCATTGTACCATTGTAATGTTCCATTTACTGTTTTTATAGAGATATCTATTGAGCAGAGCTGTCAGTGTCTTGGTCCGGCCCTTAACAACTGTCAAAGTTTCTCATGTGGCCCCATAGGAAAATTAATTGCCCACCCCGTCATAGAGGAAGGGCGCTGTTTACCTTCCGCTTCCGAAAGTGCATCTCCTAGCGGGGGTTTTGCCGGGAGGGCGTTTCAAAGCAGTTGCTCCGTCAACTGAAGAGTTTTGAGGATGCGAAGGAGCTCGTTCCAGGCCTTGCAAATCGGCCCCCTTCTCCTCTGACCTGCTCGTCAAGTCGGAGACTTGGCGGCGCGTCCCACGCACAGCCCCGGGCATGGAAGCAAATGCCACTGAACTCCGGGCGGCGCATCTCTGCGTCGAGGCGCCATCGCGCCGTGCCGGCCAGGAGCGAGCAGAGGGCTCGGATGAGCCGCGGGGAGAACGGGGTTGGTGCCCGCCAGCAAGAGGATTGCGGTTTACGGTCCTCCTTTTCGCTCTGTTTTCCCAGGAGCGGATCTTCTTGAGTGTGTCCAACTACATCTTCACCGTCATCTTTGTCGCCGAGATGATGGTTAAGGTAATGCCGACGAGGCCTCCTCGGAGAGGGGCTCCTGACCTGTTTCGGTCACGGCCAAGACGTCTGTTAGGCGGGCTCGGGGGCGAAAGGGGGACGGGACATGCCTGCACGGCCACCCCTTCAGAGCCAGGGAAGGGCCATTTCTAATGCTCTCCCATGGGGGGTGGGTTCATAATTTCCCTGTGTGTTGTAAGCTAGCACCCACAGGCAGTGTGGCCCAATGGTCAGTCCTAGACTGGGTCACGGGAGAGGAGGGCTGCAGACCCTCCTCGGCCCTGAGGCTCCCCAAGTCCCAGCGCCCAGCCTCGCCTACCTCGCAGGGCTGCTGCGAGGATGGCACAGAGAGGAAGCCGTCCCCACGAGCCGCCTCGGGCTCCTCGCCACAGGAAAAAAGCCAGGCTAGCAATGTAGTAAATAAGTAAAGATCCAGCTGGGGGGGCACATGCCTTCCGGGGGTGTTCTGCACGCAGAGTTGGTGGTCGTTTAAGGTTCCCGGGGGGGGCGGTCCAGAGGTTGAGCCCCTGCAAGCCGCAGGGGCCGCCTCCAGAATTCTGCCTCCCGTTCGTCAACATCCGGCCCGGCTCAGCCCCCCGGCCCGTGCCACGCGGGCGGACAGCGTCCCAATGCCTCTCTCCCGCCAGGTTGTGGCGCTCGGCTTCTTCTCCGGGAAGAACACGTACCTGCAGAGCAGCTGGAACGTGCTGGACGGCATCCTGGTCTTCGTGTCCATCATCGACATCATCGTGTCCATGGCCTCGGCCGGCGGGGCGAAGATCCTGGGGGTCCTGCGGGTCCTGCGGCTGCTGCGCACCCTCCGGCCTCTACGGTACCTCAGCCCCCCCGCGGCCTTCTGTGCACGGGGGTGGGAGGGTCGGCTTTGCGGGGGGACCGCTCTGACCACACGACCGGCTCCTGCGAAGGAGCCGTTCCCAATCCTGCTAGAACGGCAAGCAAACCAAGCAGGCCTGGCCCTTTTGGTCACGTCTTGGCACAAGGGGCTAGTTCTCATGCCCTGGGGAACTCCGCTGCCTCCACATCCCCTCACCTCCTGCGTTGTTTCCCTTGTGACCCATCCTTGATTGTAAATTCCTCAGGGCAGGGACTTCATCTTCTTGACCTCTCTACGGCAGGGGCTGAATTCTGCTTTGGAGAAGCCCTGGGGGGGGCATATTCCAGAGGTGCGAGAAGGCGAACCCGGAAGAGGGAGGGGCTACATGCCCCCAAAACAACAGGTCTCGCCATCCAACCCTTTCTGGCAGTGCCAACCTTGGCAAGAGGCATTTCCGCCATTTATAATCATTTGAAAAAGAAGTGCAAAGAACCAGGCAACCAGCCATGATGGGCGCTTGGAGAAAGGAGAACGAGGCTGAGGGGCAGGGGGTGCGGTGCCCACCCCTGGCTCCCCTGGAAGGCCAGGCTCGGTTCCCCAGGCGGGCTCGGTTTGGCCCCCAGATTCAGCCCCCCTGCGGTAAAAAGCGGCTGGCTTGCTCTTGTGGCCCCAGCGATCCATTGACGGCAACGATCCATCGACAGCAAGCGGACTGCAGGGCCGTCCCAACGAGACGGGGCCACTTCCCCAGCGCTGCCGGCCACAGTGGCAGCAAGACGCCCCCCTCCCCGCAGCTGTCGCCCCCCCCAAAAACCAGCTTTGAGCGGTGGCGTCCAGACTCCCCCGGTCACGCGTGTCGCTTCGGCTACCGGGTTGGATGTCGGGCTGGCAGCCGACAAAGAGCCCCTTTTGGTGCCGAGAAGCAACTCAAAGCTACAGGGCGTTTCCCTGTTTCCAGACAAGGCGCGGAGATCAAGATGTATTATTTGTGCTTCCCGCTTGCGCATCTGCACTTTGCAGCCTGCCGATGCACCTGCTGGTCTCGCACACCTGCACGCTCCTGGCCAGAAAGCCGAGGCGAGCCCCCCTCCCGGCCCGGCCTCCCACACCTCCGATGCCTCACCCCGCGCAAGCGGAAAGGTCGAGCGTGGCCATATGTGTCCTGTTGCGAGAGAGACGCGGCTTCCCCTCCTGGCTGCATTTTCATGAGCTCTTTGCCGGTCAGGCGGGGGTTTGTCATTCCAACGACCTGGGAAATTGCAAACGCTCAGAGCCCTTCCTGGAGCAGCAGGCAGGTCCCAGCATGGGGGACGTCGCGGCGAGGAGCCGGCCGTGACCCGCGTCAGATTTGCATCTGACCCACGGTGGGGAATAGCCGGCGAGCACTGGCCTTCTCTGGTCGGTTACGCTCAGCCCACCGGGGGGCAATTTAGCTTCCTGGCAAAGCCGACAGTAAGAGGGACGCTTTCCATGCTGGAAATCGCACAAAGGCGGTTTGTGATTTAATCGGAAAAGCTGCCCAGATATTGGGGGGTGGGAGGGAAAGAGGATGCCGTTGGGGGGGATGCTCCTCCACCCCCTGCAGGTGTGCAGCTTAGCATCCCGAAGAAGGGCTCCTTCTGCTTACCTTCAGCCACATTCGCACATCTGCGCAGGCGAGCCAAGGAATGTGGGCGCTCCGAGGCGGATTGCCGGCTTCTTCCTGGGGGCAGAATGGTCAGGTCTCGGGGCTCATCGGGCATGAACCCACGGGCACCTGAAAGGCCATCCAGACGAGTGCTGCCACACCTTATCTAGGCAAGGTTCTACACAAGGGAAACACAGACCCAGTCAGCACGGCCGATGGCCAGGGATGATAAGCGTTGTAGTCTGAAACTTCTGAAGGGCACCCGTTTCCCTCCCTTCTCGAGATCACCAGATTTGGAACAGGGGTACCCAGCTGTACCATGCAAAGCCGTGACTCAAAAGAGTACCTCTGAGCATGTGCCAAGTGCTTCTTCTCTGGTGCTGAAAGGAGAGCCCCTCTCTCTTCCAAGCCTCTGCAGAGGATTTCTTTCTTAGTCTGTGTTATCTTTACCTCCCCCGATATTCCACTGGAGGCCCCCAAAAGACCCCTTAAGCACCACGACAGAGCGAGCAGGTGAAAGGAGAACGCGGAGAGCCCCGAAAGACGCCTGGGTTTTAACCTTCGTTTCAGGGTCATCAGCAGAGCGCCGGGGCTGAAGCTGGTGGTCGAGACGCTCATCTCCTCCCTCCGGCCAATCGGCAACATCGTCCTCATCTGCTGCGCCTTCTTCATCATCTTCGGCATCCTGGGAGTGCAGGTAGCCGCTCTGCCGTGCCCGGCAAGCCCACAGCGCAAGGTGGTGCCCGTCCGCCGCCCCTTTGCCAGCCATCCTCTCAACACCCCTGCGAGGCGGGCCAGGCCCACGTCGTCCTGTGAGTGCCAGGAAGGGCTGAGCTGTCCCCAAGCCTCGCAACCTTTCAAGGCGGAAAAACTGCGCCCTGGTTTCGGTGGGGCCAGGAGAAGAGGGCTGTCCGGGGACCTGGGGGCCACACCCACCCCCCAAACCACTGTGCCACACCAGCCCCTTCATGCAAAGAAGGAAGCACTTTTGCCCGCCCCGAATCTGCAGCCCCACATTCCCATGATATGGGGCATGATGCCCCAGTCCTGCTTCCCCGAAGAGAACAGTTTTCAGCGCATGTCGGGGGGGCTGGTGGGGGTGAGAGGCCAGGGAACTGTCCCAGCGGGTGACTGTCCCAGCCTTTTGCCATTAAAACCACCGTGTTGGCAAGGCCCTCGCATGTGGATGCTGGGAACCCACGGCTCGGGGTGCGGGGGGCTTTGCTCCCAGCCAGGAGGGTCTTGGAAGGCTTGCTCAACCCCCCGCGCCCGGCCTCAGAAAAGAGCCTGCGCCACCCTCCTTGGCCGCGTCCTGTGACGCCGACCGTGCCGCCTTTGCCACGGCCTGGGTCCCGAGTCCTGCACTTCCTCCCACGGAGCCGAGGAAAGGGGTCCCCGTCGCAGCCCCCCTCCCGGCCAGCCCCCCTCCCCCTGCTTTTACCCGCCTTCTCTCCTTGGAACCCCAGCTGTTCAAAGGCAAGTTCTACCACTGCGAGGGGCCCGACATCCGGAACGTCTCCACCAAGGCCGACTGCCAGAGCGCCCACTACAAATGGGTGCGACGCAAATACAACTTCGACAACCTGGGACAGGTGAGGCGCTCCAGAGGGGTCCTCCGGATCCAGCATCCCCGGCTTTCCTCCCGCAACCTGGTCGTCCGCTTTCCTCTGCCTCGCCAGCCGCTCATGGGAACTCGCCCGACCTTGGGCCGCAACTCCCATCAGGCCAAGGCAGCGTGGCCCGTGGATGACGGGGAACGTGGCTCAGCATGCCGAGAGCTTACCTGCTGCGCTTGCCCTCTGCTCGCGCCCAAGGCCTCTGAGCATGTGGAGTGTGCATAACTCCCACAGGGCACGGGCATCTGGAGGGAAGCATCGGAGGCTCTTCCCCAGCAGTGCCGCAGGGAGGCCGGTAGAATAAAGCCACCCTGCACTTTCCTGCACCGCCACCGTCACCTTCGTCGCTGCGTGGCATTTCTACCGCGCCTCCTGCACGGAGCCCCCGGCAGCCCGCGGGCGTCGTTGGGCTGGGGCACCGCAGGACCCGCGTGCCGGCTCCAGCTCCAGCCTCGTGGCACCGCCGCTCGTGGCCCGCTCACCGCCCTCCTCCGAAGGCGCAGCGGCCCCGACGCCTCCTTGCCACCTCTCTGCCCCGGCCTCTGCCCGTCGACGGGCCAGACCCGGCAAGCGGGGCCCGGCTTTCCCGGGGTGACGCAGCCTGAGCCTGCCTCTCGGGGCAGAAACCCGCCTGGGCCCTGTCCCTCCCAGGGGGGCCGTGTTGATGAACGGAGGGAGTCTGCTCTTTGCTCCGCAGGCACTGATGTCCTTGTTCGTCCTCTCCTCCAAAGACGGCTGGGTGAACATCATGTACGACGGGCTGGACGCAGTGGGCATCGACCAGCAGGTAGGCGCCCCGTCCCCGCCAGGCTCCCGGGGGGAAGCATCCCGGGCGAGAGGGCAGGCTGGCGGGGCGCGCGAGTCCGGGGCTGGCTCCCGCTCACATCTCTCGCCCTTCCCTCTCCGCCCGCCCTCCTCCACCGCCAGCCCAGCCAGAACCACAACCCGTGGATGCTGCTGTACTTCATCTCCTTCCTGCTCATCGTCAGCTTCTTTGTGCTCAACATGTTCGTCGGTGTGGTGGTGGAGAACTTCCACAAGTGCCGGCAGCACCAGGAGGCCGAGGAGGCCCGCCGGCGGGAGGAGAAGCGGCTGCGGCGGCTGGAGAAAAAGCGCAGGAGTAAGGCGGTATACGTGTCTGGTCGGTAGACAGCGGTACAGATCCAAATCCTTTGAGCCTTGCCTGCTTCCCAAGCAAGACTTTGCTTTCCGGGGTCCTCCGAGTTCTGGTTGGCTTTGTTTTGTCCATGGGCGGAAGGAGGATTTTTTGGTTTCCCTCATTTCACCCTTTGGAGATGCTTTAAGAGTCAGAAGCGACCGCTCGCCAGGCCTACAATCCTCGCCCGAGCCCAGCTTTAGAACTTATGCTGTGAAAATAGTCACAGTGCCCCTGAGCAGATGCAGAGTGCAAATCCTTCACCCAGCAAGGAAGATCCACAGGAGGAATTCTCCATCATTCCTCTATTCCTTGATGCAGCGTTGGAGGTTAGAGCGCCGTGATTGTCACCGTTGAGGTAGACAAGATACGGCAATGATTCGAAATTGACCAGGGTAATTTCCAGCTCCACTCCCAGAACAGGGCACTGGGACGGGCAGTTTGGCTCGGCTCCAGGAGGGTCAGTCAGTGAATAGATACAGCGGAGCCAGGTTTAGTCCTGAGAAATACCTGGACACGAGAAGGCTGCGTGTAAACTCATCCAAACTTGTCAGAGGAAGCGTAGAAATGTAGAAATGAGGCCCAGCCTGAGAGAAGAGTCTCCTCATGCCGAGGGTGGAGGGCGGCCGGGAGTAGAAAGGTACTGATCCTGTTCAGTCCGTTCACCTGCGTTTCGGACCCTCCGCAACCTCCATTCTGCGTCCCGCTCGCTGATGGAACCGGGGGTGAGGAGGGGTCAGGAGTGCGTGAGGTGGTTGCTTCCCTGCTCTAACGTGCATTTGTGCGAATGCGTCTTCACGCTCGTGCTAATTAGTGCAAAAGCGAATGTGCAGAAATGCGGCCTCTCCCAAGAAAGGGACCAGGGAGTCCGTGCAACTCAGCAAAAGCTGGGCTTCTGCAGAGCCTGCCAGTCGGTATCGCAGGAGGCGGAACTCACCTGCCACCCCTGCGAGGTCTCCAGCATCCCCAGGCAGGGAATCCGCTCCAGTCCGGTCCCTACGGAGCCAGAGGCCGCCTGGGGAGGCAGTGCCTCCCCGATGAACGAACTCTGGCGGAGAGCGAGGCCGTGCGTGTTTCTGGGGATGCAGGAGGCACATTTCTGAGGGCAGGAGCTGTGAGGCTGCCTCGCATCGCTGGCAGGTTCCCCCGAGCATTGCCGCGGGTGCCGTCTTGGATGCCCAGCATCCTCTGTGGCTTCGCCACCCACCCATCACCTGGTCTCGCCCTGTGCCGGAAGGCAACTCCCCATGGCCCTTGCCGTCCCCTGGTCCTTAAAGCATCGCCAACGTTTCGGCAGGCCCAGCGGTGGGGTTCCCCACCACCATCTTATCTGCATTTGTATGGGATTCTAAACTCGAGCGAGTGGCCGTCATTCCATCGGGGTCTCGGCGCATGGTCCCCGCATGCCACTGACTTGCTGCATGAGGGGGATAACGCAGCGGGGGGGGGAGCCTTGGGGGCAGAGTGCCCCCCGGATGGAGTCCATTAGAAGAGATGCTTCTGCCGGCACCCCAGAGGGCGCTCCTAGGCCGAACTGCCTCCGGTCGACCGTCGGGGCCGAGCAACAGCAGCCCCGCTCCTCCCCTTCTTCCCCTCCGGCCAGACAGGAAAATCGAAGGCCGCACTGCCTGCAGCCGGGCTCACCGTTGAGGCACGTCAGGGGTGTGCAGGGTGGGGAAGGACCATCGTCCAGTGGAGGGCATCGTCCCCAGCCCTGCTCCCCGGCGCCCTCCAGGAACTGGCTGGGGGCCAGAAGGGGGGGTGCCAAAGTGTGGGGCCGTTTTCCCTCTCAGGAAAGGCTTGGGACCGAGATCCGCGGGCATCCCATGGACCGGGAGACTGGCTTGATCTGTGTGCGCCAGTTGCTGGGGAACACGGGTGGCAGCGTGCCGTGGCACATGTGCTTGAGAGTTCCCTGTGGGCAGCTGGATGGCCACTGTGTGAACAGAAAGATGCACCCAGAGTCTCACCCAACAGAAATATAAGAGGGCTCTGCCTCTCCTCTTATATTTCTGCCAAGCGAAGTGGTGCTCGGGGCAGCTTTTCCTCATAAGTAAAACCTGATTAAACAATCATCAAAGCAATCCATTAAAAGCGAGCAATGGCGGAATGCAACTCCCGTTTCTCGGGATGCTGAGGCCGGCTTTGCAGCTTCAGCACAGCAGATGTTTGGCACAGACCCAGCTGCAAACCTCCACTTCGCAACCCGGCCCTGTCCTTGACGAGACCTTGGAACTGCGCTGCCATGTAGCGAGAGCTATTTTCAGCTTCCCTTTTTCCAAGAAACAAACAAACCAGCCTGCAATTCCCAGGATCATTTGAAGAAGTCAACCCAGACTTAGCAAACCGGAGCAAGTCAGTGGGCAGCCGAGCCGTCCCCACCGGGGCTCACGTGCTTCTCCCAGTTCCTGCCCCTTGGGCCTGTTCCCACCAGCAGCTAAGCCAGTCTCAGCCTTTCTGAAGTTTCCTTTATAAGCCTCTCGGGATCTGCCCTGCCCTCCTGCCAGGACGAGGGCCTGAAGGTGGCCGTGAGCTGAGCTCCAGGTTCGCTGCCTGAGGACTGGCTTCTCGCGTTTCTTGACGCTTAAAAGATGGCAGACTCCGAAGCCCAAGATGCAGCTGACCATCCGTGGCTGCCTTGTGGCTGGTCCGGGGCGTGCGTGGCTGTTCCTGAGGCCAGCACCGTGTCTGTGTGGCCACCCGGGCGCATCTGTGCACTCAGAGTCCCACAGGGCCTCCGGTCCCAAACGCTCGTCTCCGTCTGCGCACACCCGTCACCCAGCCGGTTCCACCGAAGCGGCACCTGGGCGCTGCAGAGAGGGCAGCCTGCCAGGGCATCGGGGTGCGGGAGCGGCTCCCGAGCCCACATGCTTTCCCGCAAAGACGTAAACCACGTCTCCGGATGACGGGCCACCGGTGGCTTCCAGCCCCAGTGGGTGGAGGGTCCCCCCAGTATTCATGGCGGGACACACCAGTTGCTGGGGAACATGGTCGGGAAGCGGGGCTTGCCTCGTGGCCTGCCTTTGGGTTCCCCGTGGACAGCTGGTTGGCCACTGCGTGAGTAGAGCGCCGGGCTGGACGGCCCCCCCCCCCCGTGCCGTTGGTGCTTCCGTGTCGCTAGCCGTCTGCGCACAGCCTTTCCGTGGGCAGCGAGGAGGCGCTCACGGCTCCCAGCCCCCCCACCTGCTGCCCCACAGCTCCAGCCCAGCCCCTCAGGCCGAGGGAGGGAGAAACGTGTCCCAAAGCACGCGGGGCCCCGACTCGTCCCGTGCGCGCCTGGGCAACCGCTTGTGCGTTGGCGTCAGTGAGACCCTGCCTCGATTCCACATCGCCATAACCCGCAGCAGAGCTGCTCCCGCCCTCCTGCAGCCACCGCCCCCCCCCGCCCCTCACCATGGCGTGTCTGTCCACCCCTCCCACCGTGCATGGGCCGGCATCTCTTCTAATGGGCATTGCATGCGTGGGGGGCGAGGCATGACTGCGTGCTGCATGCGACTGCCAGCGTGCTCCGGTCGCTACTGTGTGTGTGTCTCCCGGTGGGAAGGTCTTCTCCGTCTTCTCTCTGCCCCTCTGGAGACATTCAAGAGCTTCCCCTTGCTCCGCATTCTCAGCCCACTCCTGCCCCAGCCTCATCATCCCTCTGGAACCGCACGGATCCACCAGAGGCTCTCGGGCGCCTTTTCTGGGAGCCCATCGGAGGCTCCTCCCTGGGATGGCTGACGCTCAGAGACCAGCACCAGCATCCCCACTGCCCCGGTCCTTCCGCCTTGGATGCTTCGTGGAGCAACGCCGTCCCAGCACCACGATCTTGCCCTTCCTCTTACTTACATAAACGTGCAGAGCCCCCCTCCGTGATGCGTGAGCGGTAGGGTTAGCCATGGTCGAGGAATTTAGGGATTCGGGACCCTCAAGACGCAGGAACCGTTCTGGCTTTTGGTGCCTTTTAAACCGGGAGTGGGCCAACTGATGGAGGAAAGCTGGACCGAGGGAGGCGTAATCCTTCCCGCAGAGCCAAGCTGAGCATCTCTGCCGCACCTGCAAACCGGGTTGCCCAGCACCCTTCATAGCCTACGATCCACACACGACTCCTCGGGCAGCCCCCGGAAAACCCCCTGGGGATCTCCATGGCTTTGCAAGACAAGTTCAAGGAGGTACATGCCTTGAGAGAATCCTGCCCGGTCACATGATTTCCTTCCCAAATCGGGCAGGGGGGCTGCCACTGATGCCGTGCCAATTTCAGTAGGGAAGGGGGGCTGCCGGTGGGTCTGAGGGGGCTCTGCGGCCCCCCAGCCCCTGGAACTAGCCCAGGTACTTTCAGCAAGACACCCTCAGTGGACCCCTCCCTTAGGAAGTCGCGATTCCCACCACCTCCTTGCCTGGGGGACGATTCCCTGCAGCTTGTGCCAGCCTGGCCGGGTTTGGGACGTGACCAGCCTAAGAGTGTGCTAGAGAAATGCCCCTTCGCACCCGGGGACGGGTGCAGCCACGACTCGTTTGCTTGTGCGTGGAGAAGGCTCCCCCAGGGGCTGCACTTGGGGGCCCCCAGCTTCCGTTGTCATTCATTCCCTGTCCGGTGTGGCTGGCACACAACTCTGACCCCGCAGCGCATCCCCAAAGAGGCGCTTCACCTGTCCGCGCATGCGGTCGCAAGAGACGGGGGCACGTGGCTGCCCTCACGGGGAGCCTGGCCGGGGGAGGCTGCTGACCGCGGCCCCTCCGTGGTGCTCTTTCCGCAGAAGCCCAGCGGAGACCGTACTATGCCGATTACTCACCGGCACGGAAGTACATCCACACGCTCTGCACAAGCCATTACCTGGACCTCTTCATCACCTTCATCATCGGGGTTAATGTCATCACCATGTCAGTGGAACATTTCAACCAGCCCAAGGTACAGGCAACGCTCCATCCTCACAGGGGTCCCGGGAAGCATCCGCCGTGCCGACAGAAAGTTCCACCTCAGGCCTTAGCGTCCCCAGCTAAGCGAGGGGGCAGGCGGCAGACCTAGGGAAGCGCTCCCATGGCTGGCTGGCTGGCTGGCCGCCATCAGTCAGGGGACAGGTCCTGCCCTGGAGGGGCCGAATTCCCGGAATGAAGCAAGGCATGGGACCCTCCTGGCTTTATTCCGTCAGATGAAGCTTTTACCACTACACTGTGCGAAAAAGCTTCCGCAGGTGTCTTTGGGCCGCCGTGTGATGCTTCATGCCGAAGGCCCGGCCCGCTCAGATGCTTCGGGGCGGTGCTGGGGGGCGGGGGGCCTTTCTTCTCTCGGGGGACGCCTCTGTCACACGACGCAGAGACTTGGGGGCGCATTGGTGGGGGGCGGGGGTGGCGAGAGTCAGAAGCGAGAAGGGGCTGCAGAGCCGTCGACCCTGTGGCTCGAGGGGGGTCTGGGGGGGGGGGAGCCGCTGCCCTGACACGCACCGTTTGTGGCTCACAGTCCCTGGACGAGGTGCTGAAGTACTGCAATTATGTGTTCACCATCGTCTTTGTGTTCGAAGCCATGTTGAAGCTGGTGGCCTTTGGATTCCGGAGGTTCTTCAAAGACAGGTAAGGCAGGGGCCACGCGGCTTGGGGGCCAGAGGAGACCCTCCGTCACGTCCTCTCCCAAGGGGTGGCAGGTGGCAGGTGGCGGGGTGGGAAGGAGGGCCTCCTCACCCGACTCGGGCTGCTTAGAATGATAAGACAGGTGGGTGGGTGGGTGGGTGGGAGGGAGGGAGGGAGGAAGGAAGGAAGGAAGGAAGGAAGGAAGGAAGGAAGGAAGGAAGGATCCGAGTCCCACTTCTTGGGAAGGGGGTCCCACGGAGCTCAGGGAACCCCGTTGCCGCTCCCCCCGTCCCTCAGGTGGAACCAGCTGGACCTGGCCATCGTCTTGCTTTCCATCATGGGCATCACCTTGGAGGAGATCGAGATGAACGCCGCGCTTCCCATCAACCCCACCATCATCCGCATCATGCGGGTGCTCAGAATCGCCAGAGGTGAGGCGGGGGCGGGGGGCGGCCCAGGGCCGGTGGAAGCGGGGGGTCCGTCATCACGCCCCTCCCTGCCCTCCTGCTTGTTTCGGGCCGCACTCCGTGGCCCTGCGTTCTTTTCAATCCTCCCTTCCTTTCTGTGTTTTAACCGTTCGGTGGCATGTGAGACTTTTAACCATTTGCAGGCCTCCCAGGGAACTTTGCTCATTGAGTAGATTAGCCACGTGTGTAAGAAGTCTGCACATCAGCAGACCCATTGGGCTGAATGGGCCCTGCCCGAGGCGGCTGCGCACCGCAGAGAGCGCGGCTGAAGGTCAAACGCTGCCCTCCCCGCAGGTTCCAGGGAGCTTAAGTGCAAAGCACAAAAGCAACAGCTCTCCGCCATATTGATTCTTCAGAGACGCATCTTTAGAGGTAGACTTCTCCTGCTGCTGGAGGTTCCATATCCCACTGACTCGACTGTGCTTTCCTCCTAGTGCTGAAGCTGCTCAAAATGGCCACGGGGATGCGGGCATTGCTGGACACGGTGGTGCAGGCCCTGCCCCAGGTGAGTGCGGAGTCTCGCTCCACCAGAACAGAGACGCCTTGAGTCTTTCTTCCGGGCATTTATTTATATATGTTTATTTTAAAATTTATAGAGCACTGATTAACCCAGCTGCGCTCTCTGCTTTGGTTTTTATGGCATCTTGTTTTGACAAGCAAGAAAAAAACCCTAAACATTGTTTTCTAAAATTATATGCAGGGTCCCTCCATCAACACAGAATCCTATAAGAATGATTTCATTCTTACCTCTTTCCTTTCCCTCGTGCGTTGTGGGTTCGTTTGTTTCTTAATCGGTGTGTGTCTCCTTGCATTTTCCAAAGAAAACCAGCCATTTTCCAAAGATGCTGCATTTTCTCGGCTGCATCTAGGTTCAAGTTTCTGTCGGATGAATCCAAATATGGATTCAATATGCAATATGGAGCAGTGTAGGAATCGTGCCAACAAGCAAACAAATAAATAAATAAATTTCCCCAATAATTTCACATTATTTTAACGGAGCCCCTGAGTGAATTCATAAGAAAGGTGCCTATCAGAAAGAGCCAAGGCCAAACGCGAAGCCCCCGTGGAGCACCCATGAAGGAGAGGCGAAAGAGAGACCCCTTCCGTTGGGGAACAGATGTTTCTGCAGCAAGAAACATGTGGAGAACTCCGGGTTCCCTGGTTCCCTCCCCAGCAGGATGGGACTAAGCCTTTGCCGCTGTCGGGGGGCAGAAACTCCCCAAACATCTGCCGGAAGGGAGGAAACGAGCCGCCCACCGGCTCCTGTGGGAGGAGGGCTGGGTGGCTGGCCAGCAAAATGGCTATGCATTATATTATTATCTAATATAATAATATTATATTATATTATTATCTAATATAATATATTATGTTATATAATAATATAATATAATATAATAATATTATCTAATATAATATTATATATTATATTATTATATTGTCCAATTGTTAATCCGCCCCAAAACCACAGTCTGGAATATTTTTACATAAATAAAATGCGTACACGCCAAGGACAAGGCCTTTCCCGCGTTGGCCCCGGGTCACTAGAATGCAGCCTGCTCCAGACAGCCCGTCACCCCTGCGACCCATATGACCTCTGGCTGGGGATGATGGGTGCGTGCAGTGGGCACCTCGGGAGGGCGCCCAGTGGAAGGGGCTGCTGTGGGGGCAGGCACGCAAATGCCCCCCGGCCGGGGCTTCCCCGTGGTGGCCCCCAGCCCCCCGGCTCAGGCGCAGCGCTCTTCCTTCCCAGGTGGGGAACCTCGGCCTCCTCTTCATGCTCCTCTTTTTCATCTACGCCGCCCTCGGAGTGGAGTTATTTGGGAAGCTGGGTGAGTGACCGTCCAGCCCGGGGAGGGAAAATGGTAGCCCTCCCGACCCCCCCCCCCCAAGTAAGCTAGCTGTGGCCGACAGGAGCAGCAAGACAGGGTATTGGGGTGGGGGGCAGAAGTCCCCTCCAGAAGGCCTGGAGCAGGGCTGGGTGGAAGGCAGGTGCCCAGGTGCCCCGGCTGTCCCGGCTTCTGGCCATGTGGGAGGGCTCCTGGGAGGGGACGATCTGCCCTCTGCCGCCCCCCCCCCCCCCCCCCGGGGGAAAAAACCCCCCCCCATCCCCCGGGCCCGGGGGGGGGGGCGGGGCGCCCCCCCCCCCCCCCCCCCCCCCGCCAGAGGATGAATAGCCCACACCTTAACCCGGGACAGTGGGGGCAGCGACGGGGCTCCTCCCCAGCCGGGCTCTGCTGAGCTCGAGTCTCCCCCGCCCCCAGACTGCAGCGAGGACAACCCTTGCGAAGGCCTGAGCCGCCACGCGACCTTCAGCAACTTCGGCATGGCCTTCCTCACCCTCTTCAGGGTCTCCACCGGCGACAACTGGAACGGCATCATGAAGGTGAGGCGGGCGGCTCCTCTCGCCGCGGTGGCGCCTGCGGGCGGCGGGCGGCTCCTCCACCGGACCCCCGAGTGCTGGGCCCCCCCCCGGGCCCTTCCGGCCCGGCCCCGGCGCCCCCTGATCCTCTCCCCGTTGCCTCCCGCAGGACACGCTCCGGGAGTGCCGCCGCGACGACAAGCACTGCCTCAGCTACCTGCCCGTCATCTCCCCGGTCTACTTCGTCACCTTCGTCCTCATCGCCCAGTTCGTCCTGGTCAACGTGGTGGTCGCCGTCCTGATGAAGCACCTGGAGGAGAGCAACAAGGAGGCCAAGGAGGACGCCGAGATGGACGCCGAGATCGAGCGGGAGATGTCCAGGGGGGTGGGCAGCCCCCCGCGAGCCCCCGGGGGCGGCCCCTGCGCCTCCCAGCCCGGGTCGCCGCTGCTGGTCAAGCACCACGCGCTGGTAAAGACCGGAAATGGATGGGCCCTGGGCGTGGGCAAGACCACCAAGCCCCCTCCCTCCGTCCCCGAGCACCCTTCCTTCCAGCGGATTTTAGAAAGTTACAATGGCAAAGATTGTCTGTGGTTTCGCTCACGGTGAAAGGAACCCTCTGGGGGGGGGGTCCCACCTGCTTCTCTCCACCGCCCCCTTCAGTGTTGGTCTAGGAAGGGGGCCTGGGCTTGCTTCTTCCCTCTGCCCTCCGCATCCCTTTCTCCTCTAGTGTCCTGGTGCTCAGATTGCGAGCCAGCAAACAGGGGCTCTCCCGCTCGCTCCCAGCTCTGCCCCGGGAGCCCCTTTCGCGCCAAGCGGGCAAGGCTGCTCCCGGCGAAGGCACGACGGTGGAGGGGACGGAGCGGCCGCATGGGCCCGCTGCGGCGCGCTGCCCGGCATTACCCCCGCCCCCCAAATGCTGGACGCTCACTGCCGCGGGAGACTGACCCAGAACGGTGAAGCAGAGCGGTGCCCCCTTTGCCCCCCCCCCCCGCCCCCAGCCGGGCCTGGACTGTAGGCGCCGGTGGAGCAGTTGAGGTTCCTTGTGTACTTGGTCGTTTTCACGTGCCGCAAGCCGTCTCTGGTTCAGGGCAGCCCTGGAGTGAACGCTTCCCAACCTGCCCCGGTCCGTCGCAGCCCCGCTGAGCTCGTGGGGACCTCCGTCCACTGGCGGTGGAGCGCTTCTGATCCCATCCCTGCTCTGGGGGGCTCGCCTGGCCACCCGGCCCAACGTCGCGCATGCAGGTGCAGGGCCGAGCGGGGTCTGGGGCCTGGGGTGCCCATTTCTGGCCCTCACGCCCATCTGCCCCCAGCCGGGGCTCTGCAGATGTGTTGGACTGATGGGAGTTCTAGTCCAACATATGCGGAGAGTACCATGTGGGTAAAAGCTTCTGTAACCATTAGACCACACTGCTTCGCCCACGTAATGGGAGAGCTAGGCATGTGCCACGTGGGCCAAGAGCCTGTGAGGTTGCACAGGCCGGGAGAGGCCGACCGTCTGCAGGGGCCCCGAGGCCCACGGCTGGGGGAAGGGGTCCCCCGTGGCGCTGCCCAGTCTTTCCCGGCCACGTCGCCAGTGGCGCCACCGGGCACAGCCCCGCGTGCTCCACCTCGCCCCGCCTCGCCCCCTCCCGGCTCCGGGACGCCCCTCGGACCCAGACGCAGCCGCCCGGCCCCGCAGCGCCTCCGGCCCGGCCACTGACCGCTCGTGCCTCCCTGGTTTTGTCCCCGAAGGACGCCCTGAGCTGTGGGAGCATTTCCCTGGCCGTCCCCGGCTTAGTCTCCCGCCGGAGAGGCCCAGGTGACTGCGTGGAACGTGCCGCAGCCGCTTCTCCCTGCCAGTATGCCTCCGTGCGGCACGGTGCGGCTCGGCGGTGGTGGTGTGGCCCCTCCACGGGCAGCGTGCGCCTCCCCTCGCTCGCGCTCTCTCGCTCGCGCTCTCTGGAAACGGTGCGCCCGCCGGCTCCTTGTCCTCCTCCACACCTGAGCGACGGCACTTTCGGCACCTCACAGGTGCGTCCGATCACGCCGTGTGGCCATAAGCAAGCCTGCAGCCAGAGAAGCCAGAACACACCATGCGCCCGGAGCGCCCACCTGGGCAGCCCTTCCTGCCCTGCCCTGCCCTGCACGGAGTTGGCACTGGGCCGAGCACCTGCCTCTCGCCCCGCCTGGGGGTTAGGGGGCCCTTTAACCAGGGAGGTGTCTCTGGAGCAGGTTAGATCCATTTGTACGGCTCCCGGCCCCTCCAGGAGCACTGCCAGCAAGCACCCCCTGAGCAGGGCCTCACCCCCTTTCCTAAGGGGGGGCGAGCACCCCCTCCTCCTTCCCATGGCTCGCCAGTGGGGCATTCACTCCCGAGGCAAAAGGACCTCTCCACGGGCATTCCCTGTGGACAAGGACCTCCTTTTCTGGCCTCGATCCGCAGACTCCCTCTTGAATTGGACGGCCCCATTTCTCAGAGACCAGACATGCTCCCCTCACCCCCTTTCCCAGAGCTTGCCTAATCGTCCCCTTTATTCCCTCCAGTATCAGGGGCCACACCAGTGCTGGGGAGCACTGGTTTCTTTCTGGAATTCTCCTCTGCTCCTGGGAGCAGCACAGAAGTTGGGCCAAGGTTCGTCCTGGATCCAGGGGGCTCCGCTCCCCTGCCCCAGACTCCCCTGAGCAGTGACTGCCCCTCCTTGCACGGGTGGGCATTTCAGCGGCTCGCACAGCTCCCGGCCCTGAAGCCGGGGGCTCAGCGGTCCTGCTTTCTCCGCGTGGCCTCTTGCCATGCCAGGCCGTCGCCCACACAATGCTTTCCAGAAGGGCAAAGCACATCTGTTCGGAGAAGGGCTCCTTAAGTGCTGGCCATCTGGAAAGAGAGCCTCAATTCGCTCCAGAGAGAAAGCGCGGACAAGATGCCGGCTTGGAGATGAGGGGAGAGTGACATACGCATCCTGGGGGACCCCCGGAGGAGGACGGCCCACGCCGCGTCCCTGGGCTGGCAGCCTGTTAACCCTGCCGGCAAAACAGGAACGGAATGACCTTGTTAAGCTAGGAGGGAGTGGAGAACCGGAATGGAAAATCCATTTTGGGCACAAAAATCAGGAGAGAGTCTGTCTGCATTACAGCGTTTTGCTGATTTCTAATTTATTTATGAGCTAGCTTTACTCTTTCGGGAAACAGGCGAAGGGGCTAGCCATGCCAGGTCCGTGGTGGGACAGCGAAGCTGAAATGCCATCATGAGAAACAGCAAGAATTTGAAATGTGGCAGACGTCAAAATTTTGCAGCAGCGCCTGCTTAGTAAAAGGCCGCAGGAGCTCCCCCGGGGCGGTTTCTCGTGCCCCGCAGAAGGGAAGCAGGTGCGGACGGGGCAGGGCCGCTCCGAGACGGGCTGAGCCCCAACTGGTGGGCAAAAGCCGCACTCCGCTCGTGCCTGGCAACCAGGCAGGGTGGAAATTAGGATTCAGGCTCACCTGCTGGGCTTCGCGTTCCCCAGCTCTGTGTTATGGGATGTAGGAAGCAGGGTGAGAGAAGAGTGAGCCAGGCTGAGACCATGGGTGGAGGTGGGGGTGTTCGGGGAATAAGAACAGGACAAGGGCAAGAGCGAGAGAGGCAGCTTCGTGTTGGCTTCTGGTAGTGAGGAGCGAAGCTGGAAAGATCGGGAGTGAGGCCTCTGGGGCAGAAGGACAGATGGTGGGGGGTCTGGAGGAGAAGGAAGCCGTGGCTTGGCCTGCAGAGACTTGGGAAGCAGAGGGACTCCGAGCAAGATCGGAGCAGGACGGGGCAGGCAAAAGCCGCTTCACCTCCAGCCAGGGCAGCTTTCCCTTCGAAGGAAAGCAGGATTGTGCCCCTGCTGGTTGACTATCCCGAAGTGCTCAGGAGAGCTCAGAGGCGAGGGCTGGCAGGGCTGAGCCGGCTCCGAGCGGAGGGGGGGAATCGGCGACCGGCCCTCGGGCTGCACCGGTCCTTCCGTGCGCTCGGCCAACGCGGCCCTCGGGGCACACCCCTCCGGAGCCCTCTGCTGCGGCTCGCTTCTGGATGTCGCGCGGCCGGGGGGGTCCCGTGTGGCGCTGGGGTGCGGCCACACTCTCGGATCAGCCCGGCTGCCATCCGCTCCCACAACGCCAAGCTAGTTCGGCAGACGCCCCCACCGCCGTGGGAGGAGTGTCGGGCGACGTCCACATGAGGGACCTGCCTCTGCGGCCTCCTCCTCATCTAGTCCGCATTTCTCACTGCCCTGCAGGAAGTCACGGCCAGCCTGGGAGAGCCCCAGAACCTCCTGACGGTCCGCAAGATCTCAGTGGCCCGGATGCACTCCCTGCCCAATGACAGCTACATGTTCCGCCCCGTGATGCCGGCCAAAACCCCCTTCCCACTCCACGAAGTAGAGTTGGAGGCCTTCTCGTACAAGTCACCCAGAGGTAAAGCACCAGTGTGGGGACGTGGCCTGCTGGACTTTCACACACGCACAAACACACACGCACAGCTGCTGTCTTTACGGCGCACCCGATGCTACTGATCTCATCGGGGCGCATTATGTCAGAACCAAGATTCACCTGCTGCAGGGCTGCTTGGGAAAGTAAGGCGCTTTAAAAACAGCAAAACTCTTCACTGAAGACGTCAACACGACCCGAGGGTTAGGGATAGAAAAATGACGTGTCCCGGCTGGATTTGGATGGTTGCAATGTGCTTAGAATGGGCAGAAAGTATGAGCTGTGCAGAAAAAGCTGCTCAAGGACGGCTTTTTCAAAATCGCATTCTTTTCAATGGAACTTTGCCCCTATTTTAGGGTTAGGGGTGTGCACCAGGGTAGGGTTAGGGTTAGAAAAACGAGGTGTCCTGGCAGGGTTTTGATGGTTGGAATGTGTTTAGAAAGGGCAGAAAGGATGAGCTGTGCAGAAAAACCTACTCAAGGGGGGCTTTTTCAAAATCGCATTGTTTTCAATGGAACTTTACCCCAATACCACGGTTACGGGTGTGCACCAGGGTAGGGTTAGGGTTAGAAAAACGAGGCGTCCTGGCAGGGTTTTGATGGTTGGAATGTGTTTAGAAAGGGCAGTAAGGATGAGCTGTGCAGAAAATCCTACTCAAGGGGGGCGTTTTCAAAATCGCATTATTTTCAATGGAACTTTACCCCTATTTTAGGGTTAGGGATGTGCACCAGGGTAGGGTTAGGGTTAGAAAAACGAGGCGTCCTGGCAGGGTTTTGATGGTTGGAATGTGTTTAGAATGGGCAGAAAGGATGAGCTGTGCAGAAA